TTTTTTTTGAGGATGCATAGGGTTGCGTTCATAGTACAGACGCTTCAACAAGATAGGATTGAAAATGCGTCAGTGTTAAGATTATTCCCTTGTCAGAACTAGGACGGCGCACGGGCAAGTATGGACTCTAAACAGACGAGATTCCACTTAGACTACTAAAGCCTCTTACAAGATTTAGACCATAAAGAAGAGGATGTGCCGAAATCGCCATCAAGTTATCATTTTTTAGGTGGCAGCCATTGTTGACGAAGAAGAAAACGTCTCTCAGATAGGAGTTGATCGATGTGAAGATTTAGTTGTGAGTATTGGTACGCAACCGCTTTCTTATCTTATGGACATCTTGAATTTTTTATATCCGTAGTATCGCGACAAACACACAAATCTGGCACGGGTACTTGTGGCAAATGCAATTCGAAATTGGCGACATCTAAGAGCTGACAATGTCACTGCAATAACTGTAAGTTTACATATAGATCCTTTTCCAATATTTTTCTTTCGTTTTGCTATCAATAAGTCTGCTTTGCTTGATACGTTGAAACTGCGGAATTCGCTGTTCAAAGAGGTCATACTGAATGTTTTGAGGTCATGTTTGATTCACCTTATGCCGACTTACCTGTGGACCATCCTTGTGTGGAGGAATACATTGGGAACAAATGCTCAATAGACAAAGTGTTCGTGGACGACCCAGAGTGCATGGTAAGGGTCTCACCGTCGACAACACTGAAACTGTACACTTATCGCACTCCTATTGTCTACAAGGGTGCTCGTGATCCGCACTTCTCAGGTAGGAAAGTATTCTCAGTATTTTCTGACATAAGTTTTATATTCTAGTCGTTGAATACACTGGGCCAGGATTTATGACACATACGGAGGAACGTCTTTTGGAGGAACGGTACTGCAAAGCGTATCAAGAGGCCCAGCGAGATGATAATAGCTCTAGCAATAAACTCGAACTAGAATTTTCGACGACTGTGAGTTCTTTGATCGCATGTAACCGTCAAAATTGCTACCGCTGCAGGACTGTAAGAGATTTGACGTTGATGTTGTGGCTGCGAGCAACTCGGGAAGTCATGAAGAGGAAAAAATCGCAGTAACCTCTGAGGTAGCATTATTTTATCACTTACTTATATTCTGTTTGAACTTCGATGATTTGAGAAGCAAACACCTCTGAAAGTTGGTTCTGCCGATGAAGATGGCACGGACGAGGAAGAGGAGGACTCCTCAAATGACGCAACCTGCACCACTGTAAGTTGTTCGGCTGCTCTTTTCTGGTTCTTTTCACTTTGCGGATACCTAGTCACTTTACTTCAGTCGCCTTTGGAGTCCCGTGTTCGCAGTGTGGAAGAACGTAGTGGACGAAAGAAGCGCGTAACCAGATCTTTATCAAGATTGTCCAATATGGTGTGTCCGTTGCTATCGTTTTCGTACCACATTTTTGAATGAGAATTGTTTCAGGACAGTGTCACACCATCTCGCATTACCACTGGTATGACGCTCCGGCATACAGAAGGTATAGTCATTAAACGAGGGCCCTGTCGATCACAATGTGTCAAAGTGGAGGATAAGGTGCGTTCATAAGTCTGCGCTTATTCGTAAATACGTTACCCTTGTAAATCATATGAAATGGTAAATAGTGATACCAGGCTGTTCTCGGCACCACATCATTGCAGGTTCTTACTCCATCGGGCCCCGTCGACATCAAAATACACGTTGCGAGCTCGTTAACTCCAACTTTTGGAATGATTACCAGGTATTTAACATGCATGTCTAACTAGCCTAGTTTTCGTTTTGTCATCCGAGATTAACGTCCATCTCTGTCTCAAACATTTTTAGGTCCCGCGACCGTAATGCAACCACTTTACTGGTAGATGTAAGGTCACCAACGCCCAGAAATGAAACAAAGAGCAATATGACCCCTCAACTTCGCAACATCATCAATGATACTGGCTCTCTGCCCACACCATTGACAGGCAGCAGGAAGAGGTCTCATCGTCTGATAGCCGAGTCATCTGGAATAACTCCTGTTGTGCACCGACTGAGCCTGGATATACCACGCAGAAATTCTGGAGATTTTGATAGCAGTCTGACCGCTGTTGTCCCAGGAAAAGTCAGAAGCGCGCCATCGACGCCCTCAAAGGTTTGCTTTTTCTGTTCAAATTAAAGTTCATTGTGTGTTTTTTTTT